GCATATTGTTTTCCACCCAAGCTAGTAGTCCTAGTTGGCCCAAAAGATCTATATGGATAATTGTAATACTCTACTAGTTGACACATCATTAATGGATTTAAAAGAAACTCGCTTTTGTTTTTCCTTTAGCACAAGCATCAAAGATTTTATCATTATCAAATTTTAGTTTAGGCAGGCCTCGAACCAATTTTTCCTTGAACTAACCGTTACAAAACACTCATGCTAGCATGTCCTAGTCTCCTATGCCAAACCAACTATCATGCTCATCCTTAGCAACTAGGCATAAATTAGTCATAAATGCATCATGTATATATCTATATTTTGACCAACAAGCATAATCGAAAAATAGATGCAATGTCAATCACTTTGCAATCATTTAAAATAAAACATTGTATCTTTTATCAAAATTATTTTTCAAAGATTATGCTTTTAACCCATTCACATATAAAACATTATGCAATGTTGATTATAGATTAAGACCACATGCATAAGTTTTTGAAAATGTTATGCATTAAAACTTTATATTTAAACAAAAATATGCATAACATTAAGAAAAATTTCAGGTCAAAATTTGCAAACCAAATTCTTGAAAAATCGATATCAATTGTTAAAGAGATATCAATTACATTTAAAAACAATTTTGACCAAAAAATAATATGATGAACTAGAGTTTATAAACATTACAAAAAATTACCATGTTCATCATACAATATATATTTTTTTTAACATACACGAGATAAAACATAATTCAACATTTTAAAACCTCATGCATGCATAAACTAAATGAGCAACCAAATAAAAAAAACATTAAGTTTAGAGATTACCCATTCTCTTTTATGTGTGGCTAGAGCATCTTGAATATCTCATCTTTGTCACCATTGCTCTCATACACCTACAAGAGACATTTAAGTAGATTTTGGTATCCAAATTGCTTTGGATCCTTGAACTTAGTTTCAATGCCTCTTGTTCCTTTTGGACCCATACTTGTCTAATTTTAAATCGTTTCCTTTCTTTAAAGGACAAGTATGTTCCTTATGACCATGATAATGACAATGTGAATATATTGTCATTATTGAACTAGATGAATTATTTAGAATGATCTCTTTTTCTCTTGTTAAACATTCAAGCTTATCTTTCAAATTGAAATTTTCTTTTCAATACTTTCAAATTCATTTTTGAGAGTTCTAAATCCTTCTTCAAGATTTCATTTTGATTTTCAAATCCATTTTCATTTCTAGAAGAAGTTTGTTTAATTTGAATTTTTTAAAGTTTTCTGATTTTATTTTTGAAAGCTCTAACTCCTTTCTCAATATTCATTTTGATTTCCAAGTCTGTTTTAGCTTTCAAAAGAAAATCATTTTTAGCAATAAATTTAGAAATCAATTTATGTATTTGGAGTTCATGGTCTCAAACTCCCAAAAATATTTCATAAGATCTTGTAACTCATTAAAGATTTTGATTTTGATATATTGAGTTAGAAGATACCTTTGGCTCTGTGAGAGCTAATAGAGACTCACTTTTATTGGTTCTTCTTCTTCCTTGTCTCTATAGATCTCCTCAAGTTTATCCCACATTTCCTTGGTACTTGAACAAGAAAAACTCCTTTATATACATTAGGATCAATTGCACAACACAACATGTGCATAGCCTTTGAGTTTTGTTGAGCTTCCTTGTTCTTGAACTCCACTTCTTTGCCTTCTTAGTAGGAGAGGAATATCCTTTCTTGATTATCATCCAAGCTTCCATATCAAATGCATTGATGAATATCATCATACACCTCTTCCAATGACAATAATTTGTTCCATGAATGTGGAGCACGTAATAGGTCTGGATTCTTCCATGGAGAACAGGAAGTAGACGCCATCTTTATCTATTTAATCTTCCCGTATCGACTCAAGAGGTGATTAAACCTTCAAAGATCATACACCTCTTCCAATGACAATAATTTGTTCCATAGAAATGTGGAGGCACGCAATAGGTCTGGATTCTTCCATGGAGAATGAACAGGAAGTACGCCATCTTTATATTTAACTCTTCCCGGATCGACTCAAGAGGTGATTAACCTTCAAATAAGTGAGGCTCTGATACCAATTGTTGAGTTAATCGATTGATGGAAATGACCAAGAGGTGGTGAATTGACAATTAAAATTTTGGTGGAAGCTTTTGCAGAAAATTGAAAATATTTGCACAATGATTTAGAGTGGTTCGACTTTCTCAACCAAAGTCTACGTCCACTACCTTAGCTATCCACACTAAGGATTTTCCAACAAATTCACTAATTTGTTCTTTCTTTTGAGGACAAAGAGTAACCTTACAACTCCCTCAAGAATTATACCCTAAATTATTGAGCATACTCTTTTTCAAAGAGAAATACACAAATTTGCAAACTTACAAGGAAAACCTCACACGGTAAGATGTTTGCACAATTCTAGAACAAGAAAAGAACACTAAAAAATAATTACAAATGAGCACAAATTTCTTGTTGATCAAAGACTTCAAACTTGTTTAAATACTTCCTCAATTGATTCTGAACGTTGGGGATGAGTAGTGGAGTCAATGGAGCCGTTTAAGTGTGAAGCCTTAATAAAACAGCTTGGAGCGTAGGGGGAATCGGTCCTTAAGTGTAAAATTCAAATATTTCGACCGTTACACAGGGGGGAATCGGTACCCACTGGGGAATCGATTCCCTCCGAGCATACTGGAATTTCTCGGAGCAAAACCATTCAGGGGGAATCGGTTCCCTCTGGACATTCTAGAATTTTTGGCTTTGAAACGGTTCGAAACACTTTATAAAATTATTTTGAAATAATTTTAAGATTAAAACTTTTTACACTTGAGTATGGATTAAAAATTACTTTTGAAAGATTTGGAGTAATATTTTGATATTCGAATAATTATATCGAATATACTTAGAAAATATTTTTGGAAAATCTTAAAATTCATTTATCTTAATTTGTTATATCGAAATATCAAATGTTTCAACATTTTGCATACTCACGACTTTACGCACTGACATGTTCATGTAATGAATGATGTAGTATTGCATAATTATTACCGTGGCACTGAGCTTGTAAGCCCAACGTTTGGAATTTGTTTCTGTGTGCTAGTCAGTAGATGATTGACGATGAGCCTATTGCACAGATACATTCCAAATCAACCGTTATCAGAGCATGTCTTAAGTCTGTTAGAGGGCGTGTATTTATGTGGACCTTGTATTAATTCGAGTCATAACTCTATTTCGATTTTAAACTCGGTGGTTATATTTTGTACTTATTGGGAGACTCCTATATTCTGTAGACCTTGATATACGATCTTCTATTCATGCTATGAAAAATGATTTATCGTTGTTTTGCAAATGATTTGAAAGAAATTTCGAGTTAGCCACTTTGGTGGTTAGTGTAATGCTTTAACCGTATGATCTTTGGGTCGGACTAAATTAGGGTGTTGCAGTCTCGTTTTCTCTATCCACCTTAGTCCTCTCTGGTTCATTGATCTTTTATGTTCTCTCATGCTCCATTATTTTATTTCTTCTTTGGCTGCTCCGATCGCTTCATCGTCTCATTTCTGAGTTTCTGCACTAGAGTTTGAATGAGTAGCTTTTCAATACTGTTTTTCATTCTAGCTTTTGGATTAGATTTATCTTTGCATTTAATGTTGGTTAGTTGTTTTTCTCTTTTGTTTTTCGGGGTTTGGGTAGCTTTTAAGTAGTGTTTTTGTTATTATTTAAGTTGTGCCATTATTTTTTATTTTATTTTATATAAAACCAACTATTCCCAATAAAAAAAATGACCGAGTTTTACCTTAATTGACATCTTACGATTGTAATACATATGAAGATATAAATTTAAATGTCTTTAATTACGTATTATATTTGAACTCATCAAGTAATTTTTGTATTAAAAGAAAATGTTATTCTCCCTAAAGTTTTAAGTTCGAGTAATTGTGTCTGTATGATGTGTGCATATTGTCAATTGATTAAGATAAATTTAAATATATAATATCTTGCAATCTTCTTAAACTATTAAAAATATATTATATTTCAATTTATAAGTAAGGTAGAGTTTGGATAGATTAGATATTATATATTACATATATGTATGTATAAAAATATAAAGATGACAGAAAACTTATTGTGGGGTAAATTAATTGATGTCATATTTCCAAGTTATTGGGAAAATGAAGGAAGAAAAAGGGAGAAAGTAACAAATGAAATCAAGAAACCTGTGGTTCGAGTTGGATAATAAATTGCTAAGGTAATGGGTAGGTTTCATCATTTTCACGTTTGACCCCCGTTTTTATGCTCATACTCTTTTTATGCTCCGACTCCATACAGCAATATATTAATATACAGTTTTTGAGATAGACGTGAATAATATTTTTTTTTGTAAAATAATTATAATTTTATTTTTTAAATTTATAAGATAATTAAAATTAATTAATTTTTTAAAAATAATTAGTTTTTAAAATAATATAAGTATTTAAAATATAAAAATTTTCAACAATAGACATTTAGTACTATTTTTCAAAATTGTAACAAATATTTTAAATATATATATTTGAAATAAACATTTTATGTAAAATAATTGTGTATATAAGTTTTTAGTGGTGTCTTCAAATCTAAGTAACAAGTTCTAATATTTTTTTAAAAATATTTATAGAAATATGAAAAGGTAAAAACATTTTTAAAATTATTTATTATGTTTAAAATATAAATTTCTAATAATTTATGACTGAATCAATTCGAATATCAATTCAATCAGAATTTTATTATTAATATAAATATTTCCCTTATTTAATTAGATTATGATTAAACTAATAAAATATTTTATTAAATATTAGTGAATTCTAATTTGAGATTAAATAATATCTCATTTTCTTCATAATATAAAAATAATTTACTTTATTTGTATAATTTATATATATATATATATAATATGTATTAGATTTGGATATATAACCAACAAAATGAGAGATTATAATTTTAGCTTAAAAAATACAAGGGGAAAAACGAACGAACTTCGAAAAATAAAAATAAAAATAAAAACAGTGAGCAGCTAGAACTAAAACAGAGACTGAGACAGGTTTTTGTAATATATTTTGATTTGTTCATGTTTGATCTTTGTTTTCCTCGTATAATGTATGTAAATCTCTTGATTTGCTCAACTATTTCAATTATATTTTCCTCTCCTTCATTTTCAGGTATTTTTTCCTTTCTACCTTCCATTTGCCCCTCATACAGTCTTTAAAACTTGTTATTTTCCAATCAGATCTTCGATCTTTTCCATTTTCTTAGACTTCCCTCTCAAAATGAAGATCTGGTTTCTTTTCGTTTTGTGATTTAGGGTTTCATTTTCTCCTTGTTTTGCTTCTGGGGTACTGTTCTCTCCCCACTTCCTTGTATTTGAATTGGCTGAAGGAAAAATGTAGTTAAGAGTGTTCTATCCTACATTTAGTTGGACTGTTTAAGCTTGAAAATATCTACTTGCTGTTATAGATCTTTTGTTTTCAATCTAGTTTCAGTACCAAAAAAGTGGGAATTTACTTGTTTTGCTTTCTGATTTGGGCTCTCAATTTGGTTCTTTTGTGACAAGAAGCCATTTTTAATATTTAGCTGGACTGTCTAAGCTTGAAAATATCTACTTGTTTATGTGGATCTTTTCCTTTTATCTATTCTTAGTAAATTTAATTGTTCCCCCCCCCCCTTCTGGGTTCTCAATTTATTTGGTTTACATTGATTTTTTTTTCAATTTGTGATCTGAGTTTGTGTAGTTCTTCCACTTGGGCGAGTAATTGGAAATTTATCTTTTTGATGCTTTTAACGATGTCTTGTGCAACACGTGAGCTGTTTGACTTAGCTAACAATTCAAGAGGAGAATAAATTTGTCAATGGTATCTTAGGGAAAATGGATTGACAATTTCTGATTCTATTCTCTTGGTTTTAGATCCTCACTTTTGTTCTAAATGCTTGTGTGGATGAATTCTAGATAGTAGTACAGAACTACGATGCTCTGGTTCTCCATTTCTTTCTTTAAGTACGTGATTGACACATAGGTATGAGATATGACCTCTAAGAGTTCTCCGAATACATGGAAAAACTACGAAAACTTGACCATTCGAGTGCCGGACACATACCCATATCTGATGCTAAAACTGGAGACCGGGTAGCGTAGATATGGGATATCTTGTTTATGAAAGCAATTATGCTTAAATAGTTTTCTTAAGAGAATATGTGAACAACGTAGCCCAGTCATTCAAATCATTGTTGATAAAGTTTAGGCAGCAGAAGATATGGTTTAAGTACGTTAGTTCGTTTCCAGAGATTGTTATGGGAAAATTAAGAGCGACTATTAGCATGGGGTGCTCTGGGTTACAATTACTGCAAATTTGCATTCTTAATCAGAGAACTCTGGGTTGTATTATATGATTTTTGTTTGCAAAACTATTACCGAGGAATTTGATTTTTATATGCCGACTTCAGTACACTGGATGATCAAGTTGGTCTCAATCTTACTGTACTTTTTCATTGTTTTTCTTGTCAATGAATTTTGCTTCATTAGGATTCATGATTCATTGTTGTAATCAGTTTATGCTGCATCTATTTCACAGATCTGACATAAATTTGATTTATCTGTTACTGGTTTTTTGGTATTGCTGTAGTGTATGTATGTGAATTTCATTAGAATGGTATTAATCATATAGAAGAGCAATCCAAATACGTGCCTTTACAGCTGCTATATGTGTGTTCTATAAGTACCTGATCAATTAGGTCCGTATCCTTTGCTTCTTGGTTCTCGATCACATTGGAATATCTCTCTGTAATAATTAGAATTAAACTATTCATCTTATATCCAAGGTGCCTTTTTTCCTTTTTGTCAGGAGGACTTTGATTTACTTATCAACGGGCTACTGGAAGTGTTTCTCGCGAAATAACTTCTGCATTGTACGCAGGAAGCTTGATGGGTTCGAGATTCCCATCTCATCAGCTCAGCAATGGCCTTTACGTATCAGGCAGGCCAGAGCAACCTAAGGAAAGAACTCCCACCATGAGCTCAGTAGCAATGCCTTATACTGGTGGTGATATTAAAAAGTCGGGAGAGTTGGGGAAAATGTTTGATATACCTGTGGATGGCTCTAAGTCCCGGAAGTCTGGACCTATATGTGGTGCCCCTTCAAGGACTGGATCTTTCGGAGGCGCTGCTTCACACTCTGGACCCATCATGCTTAATGCAGCTCCTCGGGCAGGCTATTCCACCTCTGGTCCTGGACCTACAGGAGTCATGTCTGGTTCAGCTTCGTTAAAGAAGTCAAATTCCGGACCATTGAATAGACATGGGGATCCAGTGAAAACATCTGGCCCCCAATCTGGTGGACTAACATCTAGTGGACGCCAAAACTCTGGTCCTATCCCTGTTCTTCCTGCAACTGGTCTCATCACGTCTGGCCCTATCTCATCAGGCCCATTAAATTCATCCGGGGCTCCTAGAAAAGTATCTGGTCCTTTGGATTCAATGGGATCAATGAAAGTGCATGGCTCTGCTGTGAACATTCTTAACCACGACGATGATGAGTTTTCTTTTAAGAGGAACTTCCCGAAACCAATCTTATGGTCGTTGCTACTGCTTTTTGTGATGGGTTTCATTGCTGGTGGCTTTATTCTTGGAGCTGTTCACAATGCCATTATCCTCATAGTTGTGGTGATCCTTTTCGGTACTGTTGCTGCATTATTTGCTTGGAACTCATGTTGGGGAAGAAGAGCAATTATGGGTTTCATTGCTCATTATCCTGATGCTGAGCTCCGAAATGCAAAGAATGGGCAATTCGTGAAGATATCTGGGGTATGTGATAATGTTTTAATTTGGCAGCATAACTTACATAACATCTGGTGCTTCGATACTGTTTCCTTCAAGTGTTAATCATCCAGCTTTTATTCTTAATATCCAAATCTCAAGTCTCCAACTTTTGGGCTCATATCTTTCTGAGAATATTAAGGATACTGATTCCAAGGTTGCAGGCTGCTTTCTGCAGTTAGCACTTTAGTTTTGTTGATTTTTAGGTGAAGTATAATGTTAATGTTAGTCCTGCTATGTCGTTGGTTCAAATATTTCAACTAATTAATTACCATGAAATGGAATTTATTTGATCAAAATCCAGATTTATGTGCCTCGAATGTTCGGTTGTTTTTCTTGAAGGCTGTAACATGTGGAAACGTGCCTCTTGAATCATCCTTCCAGAAAGTTCCTAGATGTGTTTATACATCTACTAGTTTATACGAGTATCGTGGATGGGATTCCAAAGCTGCCAATCCTAAACATCGCCGGTTTACGTGGGGGCTTCGATTATCAGAAGTAAGTTATTGGAGTATTCATTTATCAATTAGATAAATACATTTCTGTTTACTGAATGGCTTTAGATCTATAATAAAGAAGGCCTGCCCTCATGTCGAAGCAGTTGAAGTCTATTTTGATATGATGCACATTCAAAGGTTTTGTGTCTATCTTTTTGATAGAGGCGTGCGGTTGACTTCTACATCTCCGATTTCCAGTCGGGTTTGAGAGCTTTGGTAAAAACGGGCTATGGAACAAGGGTGACTCCTTATGTGGATGACTCTATCGTCATTGATGTTAACCCTGCCCAAGAAACATTACCTCCGGATTTCATTAGGTGGCTTGGAGAAAGGAACCTTTCAAGTGATGACCGTGTAATGCGGATTAAAGAAGGGTAAATGTTCTCTCTGAGTGTCGTTTGTTGGATCTAATCTTTATTTGACCAAATCAGGCAAACTATGGCCAGCATCCGGATTATCTTTCCAGTTCTGATTTTGGAGTAAGCTGGTTCCGGGAAAATTCTGATAAAGTATTTTGACTTCAAAATTGACATATTCTTGTATTTGTAGGTACATCAAAGAAGGAAGCACAGTTAGTGTAATGGGAGTTGTTCAAAGAAACGACAGTGTGCTCATGATTGTCCCCCCATCCGAGCCAATAACAACAGGATGCCAGTGTGCAAAGTGCTTTTTCCCGGCCGGTCTCGAGGGGATTATAGTGAGATGCGAGGATACATCAAAGACCGATGTTATTCCGGTTTAGTAGTATACGCCTCGTGAACTTTCTAAGGTAACATCGTTAAACATTTATTCTTTGTTTATTTCTATGGCAACGACGCATACAAGAGACGATAGTGTGATGATTTAGGATGGGGTAGGTGATTGTCTTCTTGTTGTCATTTTAACTCGTTGTATAGCTCTTCGGTTTCTACGTTGTTCCCGATTTTTTTTATTTCTCTTTTAGTACCCGAATTTGACATCTTAGTCCAACACATATTCGGACATGAATACGGAATATGAACTTCCAAGGACCTTCCCAATACATTAAAAACATATCCCATATGGGATCCGTCTGAGTAAAATAGGCCAGGCTCGGGGGCCTTTTTTGGTTTGATGTTATTAGGGAGTTTTATGTGTGCCCAGTAGATTGCAATTTATGTAAAATAGGGAAAGAGAAATAGAGGCTATGTTATGCATTGTTTTATTCATATCACAAAGTTGGCATCTTCTTCGCTATTGTCTTTAATTCTTTTTCCCATGTTGGAAGTTCAATTTCTTCTTGATTTATTAATAGAATGCCTCAAGGATTGTGTATTTATTTTGTTTGTGTAAGTGATTATTGTGGCCTGCATTCTGATTGGCCTCATAATTCGGATTCAAATCCAAAAACTTAGCCAATGCACTTGATTGATTATGTACATGTAACAATAAGCAGTTTGAATTTGTCTAATCTGCATTGATTTTAAAATTATCTAAATTTAATTAGAATATAAAATGTATATATAATGAGAATTAAATGTAAAGTACATAAATGGTCTCCTGACTATTTGTATTATTTTGTTGAGTCTTTCGACTATTAAAATTTATAAAATGGTTTTCGATTATAAGATTTTTTTTTGTTTAGTACTCGACTATTAAAAGTTACAAAATGATCATATGACTATTCATATGTTTCAAACATGTCTTTTTCGTTAAAAAATTGATGACAATTTGAGTTGGACGTTAACTTGCTGGTTGAGATATAATATTATTTGATCACAAAATTTCAAACGATTATTATATATTACTCATTATATTAACGTCTAACTTAAACTTTTTGTCAAATTTTTAATAAAAAGATTAGTTTGAAACATAAAAATTGTCGAATAACTATTTTATAATTTTTAACAGTCAACGAATTCAACAAAACAATCGCCTATAATCAAATGATTATTTTATTACTTTTAATAATCGAGAGATTTAACTAAGTATCACCCTACAATTGAGGGACCATTTGTGTAATTTATTTTTGATTAAAAATGAGTTATATCATTGATAATTAACTTTGGGTGGTTTAATTGATAGAATTTTAGATTCAAGGTTCAAAATAAAATCATACCCATAATTTAATAACCTAGAAAGTAGTTTACCCTAAAAAAATATTACTATTAATATAAATTTTGGTTGGGCCGATCTAAATTCAAATCTTGACCCATACGGATCAGGCTTACGATTGGAGAGGATGGCCCAAGTCTTACAACTGTTATTATATTTGATCGGCTTAATATAAAAATAAATACATAAATTATACCCAAATAAAAAAATTCATTAAAAATAAGTGTTTAATATTTTATTAAAAATAAACATGACACTTAACCATTTTTTAACTATACACATCTTTCTATTTTAAAAATAAGTACAACGAAAAAAATATTAATCACTTATTTTTAACTATAATATATGACATGTTATATTCAGATTTTTAAACACCTATTTTTAATAAAATAAGTACAATTGGAGAGGATGGCCCAAGTCCTACAACCGTCATGAGACATGTTATATTCAGATTTAAAAAATAATAATAATATTTTATTAAAAATAAACATGACACTTAACAATTTTTTAACTATACACTTCTTTCTATCTTAAAAATATAACGAATAAAAAACTATACACTTATTTTTAACAAAAAAAAAAATAGGAATAAAAAATCAATTTTAAATATAATTTAGACATTTATTTTTATATTAAGTCTATTTGATCCTCTTATTCAATCCTTTGAAGTTTAGACTGATGTCCATTAAACATATAATTACATGCATACATACATTCATTTGCACATATATACATGAAACATACCCAAGCCACTATTCTATTTTCTTTTTGGGTTAACATTATAATCCCTCTTTGTTGTATTCATAACTGAATGACCAACTCCACCAGAAATAGCTCACCATCAAACCTAAGCCCAGCAGGATCGACAGGTTGAAGCAATCCATCGACCATTCCACCGAACACATACAAATACCGACCTGAATCATCGACGCAGGCTCGATGAAATGATCGGTACCTGAGTTTATAACCTTGGGGTTTAAGTCTTCTCCACTTGTTCACCAACAATCTCTTCGAACCCAATCCTGTTGGATGCATTCTTTCTAATGATACGCGGCTGATATCCAACACCCAGAAATCATCTTTTCTATGCCTCAATGAATCTTCTCCTCCATGAATTAGTAACTGTCCCCCGACTATCGATGTAGCAAAATGTCCAACTCGTGGGAGTGAAACTCCGGCCAGTACATTCTGCACGTCATAAAAGACGTGAACGGTGAACCCATTTAGAGTAACCTTTGGACACATGCAACACCCATATATCGTTCAAAACTTCGTATCCTAATCCCCTTCCACCGAACAGAATTGTCTGCGTTTCGCTGATGCACGTCAACGAATGTCCTGAACGAGCTGGAGGCGACGGATGGCTAATGATCTGATGCCATGTTCCGAAACATTGATTTTCAGACAATTCTATAACCCATGTATCATCTAACCTGACACCATTCAAACCAATTCCCCGTGGACGACCATCCTCCTGGAGCTTATACAACATGCAGCATGGGCTCCTCTTGGCGGCGGAGACGTGGACCCAACGTCGAGCAGCCGCCATGACAGTGAGATGCCAAAGTTTTCATGGATTGAAACTTGTCCCAACCATGTATCACTGTGTCGGCCGCCTCTGTCGTTGATTCCTCCAAACAAAACAAGATAATTTTCAATGACAACACATGTATGGCCGAATCTTCCACTGGGGATACCTGTTTGAACCTTCTGCCATTTTAGCATCTTCTGAGAACTGTTGCCGATGTAAGCTGCCCATGTGTCGTCAAGATGGCGCCCTAACATTATAAAAACTTCAAAAAGTTGCTCCAACTCAAATCGAGTGTGGGACACATATGTAGAACATGTATTCGTCCCCTATATTTATGTCTTATATATACTCGGACAAAGAAATGAGTATGATCGTCCCAATACATAAAACAACTTTTTTAAAAAATAAACACAAATATCAAACATTCAAATCTATACAATATGATCACACAAAACGACACTATCAAAACATAATAAGAAACGCGGCATAACACATAAAGAAATACACAAATATGATATGAATGCACTAATATGTAAATAGAAGAAGATGCATACATAAATAGGAACCACGAAAAGAATAAACGTATTACCAAATAAATCCAGATAAGGATGATACCGTTAGTGATTCCATAAATCCAAAATAAACAATAAAGAAAACCATCCAAGGAAACATGCACCAAAAATCAAAAGATTGAACTATATATATATACATACATACATGTATGTATGTTCATGTATATATTATATTACTTAACCTACTTCACAGACAGCTAGAGAAAAGCCATCTCAGGAAACATGCACCAAAAACAAGTAAAATCAAAGATTAATCCACACACACACTTGTATTATATATGTATAAATATATATTATCTCCACCAAACATATATTATATTATAGAGTTATCACCATTACAGAGGTTTATTAAATAATTTATAAAGTTGTTGTGTTTGACACCCATGCAAACATAGATATGGATATGCAAGTTCCAAATTTAAGCGAGACTAATCCTAAATCTGAATAACAGATGCTGCTACTGGCACTGATTTCACTGAAGAGAGTCATGCAACAAACACAAAACAAAATCAAAGATAACTATGTTGCTTCGGTTTTTCATTCAAATGAAACTGTTAAAGATCAAGTATTTCCTATCACCTTCCAAAAATTAAACACGGAAAGATTGAGGTACAAGTGAATGACTGACCTCCTTCACAGCCGCCACCGAACAAAACCAGGCAACCAGAGACAAAATTGAGAGAGTGAGAAGCTCGAGGAGTGGGCAAAACCAAATCGGGATCTGGCTCAGAGAGTTTGTAACAGCAAACCGAGTCAACCTTGGAGACCTGTTTGTAAAGCCTAATCCATGGAAGCTGTTGTTCATCGCCACGAAAGGAAGATCTAAGAACATCGACAGCACTACGTCCCCAATCTCTCCTGCAAACCGATTCCCATAGATTATCAGAAGTGGCCAAGTACCTGAATTTCTTGCAAGTCATGGCGAAGGACAGGATAGAATCTACTGGAAGTAAAAGCAAGATAGTGAAGAGATGGTCTGGAGCTAAGCTAGCAACGGATGATCCATTGTTGAAGCTGCTGTGGTGGTTTCCGCCATGGAACAAAAACAAAGAGGGATTTTGGGGGTTTGTTTTGGAAATGATTGCTTGGATTTTTATGGCTAGGGGGGGAGAGAGAGAGAGAGAGAGAGGGCAGAAGAAGGTGAAAAGCTCGGTCTGGTTTTGTTGCAATGTACCATTACACAAGTGCGACGCCAAATTATTAAATAAATTAAACTACATGTTTAGTACCTAATTAATATTTTATTCCGTTTTGGTACACAAACTTTATTTTGTTTAAAAATAATACTTAACATTTTGTTTAACCTTTATTTTGGTACCCATTAAAAACTTAAGCTCTGTTTAATTCATTAAAAATATTTTTCGTAAAATGAATTACATCTTTTGAAAAATATTTTCTGAAAAATATTTTACGGTGTTTGAAAAATCTTGTATAAATCATTTCACTAATTAGTAAATTTTATATAAATTAATTATTATCAATATTAAATACAATAAATAATATTATTTAGTATAACAAATTCATATTAAATAATTTATTAAATATTATTAAAATTAATATTATTGTTAAAATATTATTTTTAAAATTTTATAAAAAAAAATGTTAAGATTAGTATATTCTATTAAAATAAAAATATTATAAATTATATTAATTATTTATTAAAATATGAATATTGTATTATATTTTTAAATATTATTAATAAATATATTTTAAATATTTTTATTAAAATAATTTAGACTATTTTATTAATATTAAATACATAAATAATATTATTTAATAATAATAATTTAATAATTACTTTTAGGAACTTAATAAATAATATAAAATTTATTAATATTTTATTATATATTATTAAAATAAGTTTATAATATCAAATAATTTTAAAAAATTTAATATTATATTATTAAAAATATTAACAAATATATTTTAAATATTTTAATGATCAATATTTTTTTTTAAATGATACTAAAGTGTTGAACCTATTTTGATATAAAAATTTTAAGGGCAAAAATGTTTTTGGACTAAATTGAATTTATT